TACAACCCATAATGACAAATACCAACAAAAGATGCTAGAAAAAAAAAAAAACTTTCACATAATTCATTCTTAAGAAAGTAACCATTTCCAATAATCGTTTCAAGTTAATAATCATCTATTTATATTAATAATTGCCAATTTTCCTTCAGGACCTGTATTAGAGTTTCAGTACAAATAATTTCAAATAGATATACTCAGATGCATGACATAAATGTTTTGCTTAGTTCTCAGTTTTAAACAGCAATATTTTCAAATTTAAGAATTATCAATTTGATTTTTAATGTTTCAAAGATTAATAAACTAATTATGAGGAATTTATGTATTTACATCACAGAAATTCTCTTAATTAATGTGATTTAGACCAGATTTTGGTCAGTTAACAGAAAATGTCATTTAAGAATCATAAAGTACAAATATACTTATAAAATTTATTAATTAATATTGTATTTATACAGATATTTAATTGCTTTTATCATAAAAAATAAGAACTAAAACTTACTCTTTACCTCCTAATGAACCTATCCTTATTCTAATTTTAGTTGTAATTTATACTTTATAAGATTAGTTTTAAGACTTGTACCCAAGTGCATTGTTGCAAGTAATATATGTTGGTTTGGCATTGTAAAAATAGTGATCATGCTGTAACATCTGGTGCATTTCTGTATGGTAACACAACATAGAAATCTTTATTAAGAACCTGTATATTTACCCAAAATAAACTATGTGTTAAATTACATGATCTTCTTTGTCTAGTAACGTGGTTTCTTTATTTGATCACATATCCCGCATACAAACTATTACTATATTTTCATTACTACAAAACAGTTGTTACAAATTCTTTTTTATTACAAAGGTCATTCTAAAAGTAAAGAATGTTTGTTTCTCTAGATATTTTTATTTAAGATAATGAAATAAAACTTATTTTTCAACACATGATACCTTAGGTATTTTTCTACGTAGTCGCCATACAAATTTAAACATTTGTCATAGCGTATCACCAGCTTTTCTATGCTTTCTGCACACTCAGTTACCACCAAGTTCTTGAACCAGACATTAAAAGCCTCTTTCAGTTTGTTGTCACTTCCATAGTAATTCCCGGCCAAAAAATCCTTCAATTTTGGGAAAGGATGGTAATCACTTGGAACAAAGTCCAGGCTATAAGGAGGATGTTCAAAAACTTTCCACTTAAACTGCTGAAGTAAGTTCTTCATCAACACAGCAGCATGTGGACATGCATTATCCTGAAGAAGCACAATGCCTCTGGACAATAATCCCCACCGTTTGTTTTGAATGGCACAGTGTAGTCGGTGAAGGGTCTGGCAATAGGCCGCTGCATTTATGATCTCCCCTCAAGGCATGTAGTCAATGAGTAGGACACTCTTTTGGTCCCAAAACACTGTAGCCATAACCTTTTTGGTGCTCAGAATTTGTTTGACATTTTTTGGTCTTGTTGGGGATCCAGAATGATGCCATTCCATTGATTGGAGCTTTGTTTCTGGAGTTTTATGCAAAATCCAGGTCTCATCACCAGTAACAACATGGTTCAAAATCTCCTCGCCATCCTTGTTGTACTGGCTGAGAAAAGTCAGTGCAGCTCCTATCCGATTTTGTTTGTGTTCATCTGTCAAAAGTTGAGGAACCCACCTGGCACACACTTTTCTGTAGTCCAAATCACCACTAACAATGCCATAAAGAATTGTTCTTGAAATTTCAGGAAAGAACAAACTGAGTCCATCTATAGTGAAAAGTCTATCCTGTTGAATTTTTTCCTCAATCCTTGATCTGCGTTCGTCAGTCACAACTGAAGGTTGGCCCAAGCGTTCTTCATCATAAATATTCGTTCACTTGCCATTAATTAAAAATGATGCATCATTTTGGAACTGAAGCTTCATTCATTACATTACCATAAACCTCAGTTATCTGTCTGTAAATTTCGATACGGAAGACTTTTTTCACAGTCAAAAAGCGTATTACACTATGAACCTCACACTTGGTGGGATCTTTAATTTTGTCACACATTTCAAAGTCACACTATAAACAGTAAACAATCATTGCAGCTCACTGTTAGCATCAGACTGGCACAAAAAAAATGGGAAGGTTCATGATGCAGCTGTGGGGGGTGGTGGGAGAACTGCACAATCAAAACTTTCTTTTCTTTTAGAATGACCCTCATAATTACTATCAAGGAGGCCTATCGAGAAGGGACAAGATAATTCAGGTTCCACTCATCAGAACATATTTTCCAGAAAAGGTCAGTTAGCCTGAGCCATCCTGGACAAGTTGAGACAGGTATGCCAACCGAGTTGGACCCACAGAACTACCGACTCAGCTCCAGATTGGTCAGTCAATGGATCTAAAACTTAGATATAAGGCAACACAACCATTGAAACTAGGAGAAATAAGCCTGGCTTAAGACTATTGTTAGAAGCAAGCAAGAAATATTGCTATATATGTATTGTAAATAGTTGTCAAATAAATGGACTTAGTCTGAATTCAAGGAGTCTTAAGGTGTTCTTTCTAAAGGACCACAGATCCAGAAGTTGGTAGGCATGAACCAAAATTTACTATTATAAATTAATTAACAACATAGAAGTTCACTGTGATTTATAAGTATAAATAGATAACTACTTTTACTATACTTTTTTTAATCAGCATCCTAGTAATATTGTTGTCTACTTTTATTATTAAAAGAGAAATTATGTAATAATTTCAGGTATACATATCATTTAATACTTCATATTCCTTTTTTTCTATTAAATTTTGTTATTTAAACTTTAACGTTACACTATCTGGAACCTGTGACCAGTGCTCTACGCATATATATAGTATATCGCTTGACAAACGTTTTCAAGCGATCTGTTCGCTCTTCTTTAGGTCGACTGAAAATTCCCCGGTCGGAGTGTATATTATTCGTTTGGATCGGGTGTCAGTTCCGACTGGGTGGGTCGTTTCTGGCATGTGCAGTCGTGTGGTGGGGGAGGAAACGGTGTGTTGGTGTCTAACAGCGATTGCCAGGCCAGAGATAGGGTTAGCTCTTCCTTCCGGTTAACGCAGGTGGCTAGCCGGCTGGCGTTGTAGATAGCTGCAGCCTCCAGCCACCTGAGATGCTGTTGGTGGGGCGTGTTGATGATGATAGTAGCTTTCTCGAGTTGTGGCTGGACAGCATCTCAGGTGGCTGGAGGCCGCGGCTATCTACAACACCAGCCGGCTAGCCACCTGCGTTAACCGGAAGGAAGAGCTAACCCTACCACTGGCCTGGCAATCACTGTTAGACACCAACACACCGTTTCCTCCCCCACCACATGACCGCACATGCCAGAAACGACCCACCCAGTCAGAACCGACACCCGATCCAAACGAATAATATACACTCCGACCGGGGAATTTTCAGTCAACCTGAAGAAGAGCGAACAGATCATTCGAAAACGTTTGTCAAGCGATATACTATATATAAGTGTAGAGCAGGGCTTCTTAAACTTTTTTTATTCACGACCCCATTTATGATTGTGATTTTTTTCGCGACCCCCCCCAAAATATATATAAAATAAAGATACTGTATATGTTACCGCTAAAGCTCGAAATCCGTTAATGTGTACATTACCTAGCTAATCTGCAGATTAACTAGGGTGATCCGTTAAAGCTGCGAAAATTGTTCAATTTCTCAAATTACCTAGGTAATTTGCAGAGTATCTAGGTAATCTGCACATTAACGGCTTCCGTATCGTTAAAGTTCAAAAGTTTGTTTCTTTCACTTCCTTTCCCCATTCCTTCTTTTTACGTAGATAAATTTAAATCCTAGAATGCAAGCAAGCACCGAATTGGTGAGTAAAATCAAGAAAAGATTCTTCGCAAACCTCTTTAGCGAAGATTTAAAATATAATACGTAGT